TAATTATAAAATTCATTGTTTCTAGTTTTAATCTGTAATTTTCCAATATTTTAATGGGAACTACTCAAGATATACTATTATACTTGTATATAAATATTTTCACTTTATTTCAAATCAATGTGATATTTTCACAAATTTGAGTAGCCTCAGAAAATTTTTTTTATTACCTTATACACGACTAGTATGAGAATATTCTATAAGTAACACATTGTTAATTAACCATTAGTTGACAGTATGTGACATGTGTTGTCTTAAAATGTACGTAAAAATTTTAATAATTGCAGATTGAAAAGCTTTTATTTCATAACTAATTTCTTGTTATAAGTTAAGTTATATGATATATATTATATAGTTCATGATAATAACTTATTATGAAGAATCATGGGAATTGTGTATGTTTTATATATAACAATTTCAAATTCATAACACAATTTACTAACCTGCCAATGATGGAATACAGACAAACAAAACGCTTGTCCTTGAGTATGAGTACGTAAATCAGTTTCAAAACCAAACGAATCAATAGCAGGAATAAAAGCTTTGATGGTATAAAGTGGTGACCCTGGAACAGGAGCATCTTGAGTTACATGTCCTCTTCTTTTAGCCAACACAGTATAAACAGCAGAAACACAATCTGCTGGAGCTTGGACTTCAACATACAGATATGGTTCCATCAAACGAGGTGTTGCCATAAGAAATGCTGAATAGGCTACTCTACGAGCAGTAGGAATAATTTGACCTGAAATTTATCGTTATTTTAATATACTATAAGATATTAGATTATACATAGTTCAACTATTAGTAATAACCTCCTCCTCTATGTAACGGTTCAGGGGCAATGACTGCGTCTAATATTTTAAATTTAACATTACGAATTGGTTCTTCACACAATGGTCCCTCTCTAGTGCCCCATTGAAAACCCTAAAATCAAACAAAAATATTTAAATTTTAAAACAGTTCGAAACTAAAATAAATTATAAAATACAGAAAATATAAATAATTTTAAGGCGGAAATGGAAGTTATCAGTTAGTCTGTAATGATCTTTTTGATAAAATACTTAAGCCATAACTTTTACGAACTCCTTATTGAGACAAAAGTAAAAATTGTTTGGTCAGTATGAGGCATACACGCCAGGTTCAATTGTCTTATAAAAATATAAGCTAGGCTGAAATAGTTGACAACAGTGGTGGTTTAAGCAGGATATATTTGAATCATGTGATTTACAAAAATATTAATGGGTGGGTGGTCGTCCTATGGTTGGAAAAGTTAGTTTGACACTTTTTAAAGGTTATTTTACCATTAACAAACAACTTATGAATTCCTTATTTTGAGAGTAGTGATAAAATGTTTATGGCTGGCGGTGTAAAAATATTAAATGTGTCAAGGAAAAAAAGTTCAAGCCACCACTAGCTGACAATCAGTATTAATGGTTTCTTGGTTTATAATAATAATAACTATTTAACAAATAAAATATTAATAAATAATAATGATAATTAATAAAAAGGTAAATAACGTACTTGAACAATAGAATCCCTAATAGACCTAAGTATATTTTTGTCAACTTCAGATGGCAGAGTATCGTCTACAAGAATATTAGGGCCAGTAGTATCTGGGCCAAATGCCCATATGGAACGAGCTGCAAGTAAATCCCAATCATATTTAGATTGGAAAAATTCACCAATTTTTTTCCTTAAATAGTAAAACATTTATAGTTAAATTATGTATAAAATCATTCCTGAAAACATATTTTCATTCTATTAAAAATAAATTGTTGAGTATTACTTGTCCCATGAAATGTCAACCACTTGGTTTTCAATATCTTCAGCAAGACCTTTTTCTAATGGTTCTGCAATCATTGTTATCTTATTACGTTTGTTTGGAGTTTCAGCAAAACATTTTAATGACGATGTATCAACAACAGTTTCACAAAAAGCAACAACTGGATCCGCCACTTTTATATCTTCAATAATTATAAAACTTTAGTACTAATTACTTACTACTTAGGTAAACTGTAATGCTAGTTATATTTACCAATTTCTGAATACATTTTTCTTAGATCGTGCATAACACAATCTAAGTATAATTCACCAGTGCCGAGTATAACATGTTCACCAGATTCTTCAACTCGAGTAATAAGGAGAGGATAAGACTTATTGACTTTCCTCAAACCATCCAACATTTTGGGTAGTTCAGATGGATTTACAGGTTCGACTATAATTTTTTTTTTTTTATTACATTTGCAAAATATTAATTTCAGCATATTTTTTTTTACCTGCAATTTTTATAACAGACTGGGTGTTGAATTTTAATGGCCTGAATATGTATAAATCGTCTGTTGTTATTAAGTCAGTTATTGTTGCAGTTTTAACAATTGGTTGATCAATACCTTCAATTAACACCCAATTACCAGCTGGTACTCTATTCACTTCAACTTTATATCTAGCTTCATGTACCCATAACCGTCCAATTGTCATTACCCTAGAATCTTCTTCATCAACCAAGGAATAATTTTCACCTAAGACTCTTACTTCTTGTCCAGCGTGCAACGTTCCACTCATTACTCTAGCTAATACTTGGAAGAAAGTACAATCATCTGTAGGATACATTTTAGTACTGTGCACCATTAAACGACCCTAAAATAAAATATGAAATGTAAAACATAAAATAACATTATATCTTAGAAAAAACTTACATCTGGATTACAATCAAGCATATCCTTAGCTAGTTCAGTATCTTGAGGACCTGTATAAATTGTATCTATTTTGTTTTTAGCATTTTCTGCTGGTGAAGGTATATGATTAACACACATGTCCACAAAACCACTGAGATCATTTAAGAAGCGTCCACAGACGAGGCGTAATAATGGTCGTATATTAATATTCATTTCTCGTTTTGTTAGTTTAATTCCAAGTTCATCCAAAACATCAGGGAGCGTAGTGTCTACATCACCAATTACTTGAGCAAATAATTTGTATAACGGTTCTAAAATGAACTCAACAAAACTTCTTTGAGCACTGTTATGTGGAGATTTTTTGGAGAATTTTCTAGTTTTGGGATTAAAGTAAACATCACCCCATAAAACTTTAGAAAAATTGTCAACTTTAATATTTGGATAATAATTGGCATAAAGTTTAGCAAAAGACTTGAGTGTGAAACAAACAGCATATTGAGCTGATGCGAAACAAACATTTCCAATAATTGGTGAAACAATACGAGATGGATCATTCTGCGAATGCAAACTGTAAAATAAATGAATAATTAGAGCATAGCAATTTGAAAGAGAAAATAGTTCAATATAAGCATATATAATATAGTCCGTTCCACAAAAGAAAAAACTCATGTCGGCTATAGCACTGAGGCTAAATTTCCTCCATTAAGGGTAAGTTACAATATACACGTTGCCAACTACCCGTCAAATAATTGATGATCATAACGGAAAAAGCGCAAGTGGAAGAAGGTCTGCAAAGAGAACATAAAAAGAAGATTCTTCTCTTGTGTAACGGAGCATAGTTAGATATCTGGTAGATAGTATAGCCAGATATTGGTTTATACCTTAACAGAGAATTTACTTCATCAATTATATGCTTAATTTTGTAGTATGCATCTTGAGGAGGAAGTTTAAGCTCCAACATAAGTCTGTCAATTTTATTTACACAAATAGTAATTGCTAATTTCTCCTGAAATGTTTAAAAAAAATTTATAACATTCTCTACAAACATAAGCACGTAATTCTGTACAAACTTGTATAGCGTGTTTAATCAGACGTTCTGTATTTAACATTACACCTTCTGCAGCATCAACAAATATTACAGCCCCATCACAAATTCTTAGGGCAGCTGTTACTTCATCAGAAAAATTAACATGACCTAGTGAACACCAAAGTTAAATTTATGAATGAATAAAATATTTTCAATTTAAAAGCAATATTACCAGGTGTATCAAAAATGTTCATTAAATATGATTTAGAATTAACATCAGGTAAAACCAATGTCACAGGAGTGGCTTTAATGCTAACACCTCTTTGACGTTCAGTCATTAAAGTATCTGTATAACGCATCAAATCAGCATCTGCTGAATCTAAATTTAACTGCCCCAAGTCTGGATGAGTTTGACGGACTAAGCAATCTACCAAACTAGTTTTGCCATGGTGAAGATGTCCAACTAATGCAACATTACGCACTAACCCGGCAACGTCCATTAAATCAGCCAAGTACCTAGTTACAACATAGCATGTAATTTAATTTATTTATATATCATAGGTACTAAAACAAACAAAATTTACTCCATATTATATGTCGTGTTTGGTAAATGTTGTTCTTTGATTTGGAAATTATGTTGTTTAACAGGAGCAACCAATGGTACTGTTAATGGTAGTTCATCCTCTTCTTGGACTAATGTTTCCACGTCAGGCCCATACACTTCAACAGCACTCGGATAATACCGTTTATCTTCATGTAAAACAACGCTCATACCCGGTTCTTCTGGTCCATCTTCACTCTCCTCAATCATCTACAAAAACAATATAACATTAGTAATAAGTATTGCATCTATTAAATGTATTCACTTACATCAATGTCCTGAGGTTCTGGATCAGGAGTTGGCGGCTGTTCTTCTTCCTCTTCGTCAGATTCCAATTCTGGTCCAATGTAATTACCGAATTCATCGTAAAGATCAGAATCCATTTTATGAATTCAACAACTCAATTTGTACTGTAAAAATCTACCGGATTATTTATTCAATTTTTTTCTATTATAATAATTAATAATTATTAGACATAACTAATAACTTTTAAAATTATCATCAACAAATCGAATAACGTTTATAAACGAACAAATTCTGAAATTCTCACATAATGAACATAACCTTCAAATATCAATATTATGTTTTTAATTTTAATAAACAAATCGTTATCAGTTGGTATATTTAATCAATGGTTACTTTCGCGGTATATATTCTGAGGTTATACACCTTATATATTATTATTATCATAGAATAATAATAAATAAATACAAAATATATTATCTATTCTTTTTTTGTTATGCTACCCGGTACACATGTTCCGATGTTCGTCCAAGTCTCAAGGTGCCCACTGTGCACTGTGCAGTGTACATTGTTGCTGTGTGCCTGTACTGCAGTAGTGCAGTATACGCTGCTGTCTATTCACTAAACGGGTTACAGGTGCAATCTTCGGTGGATTACTTACTGGTGCCTGTGATAAGTTTGTCTTAGTGAGAATAACTGTATGGTCATTCAATTTTGAATTAATTGTGTTAATTATATGAGCACATCTTCATATAATATTATACTGTAGGTGTTCAAATTTCAACCTGAATACAATTTACATTTACGATTTAACGGTAAGGAAATTATGCTTGTTTTCATTTTTGTTGTGTATTATGAGTTATGACATAACTAATATGTCTTTGTTTTTATTTACTCAATTGTGTTTTTTTTTAAATTATTGCACTTTTAATAAACCTTTTTAGCAGTTAAAAGAATGCACAAGTAGTTTTGGCATAATTCTAGTTTAGCCACCTCTCGTTCTTTTAGAGTTTTTTTTCCATAATATGTGTCTTAGGGTGTTGTATAAGAATGTAAAAAAAAAGTCGGATGGACTTTGTTTTTAAAGAACATATTTTTCGTAACACTTTTAAAAAAAAAAGTATTTAGAATTGATTGTTTTAAATGTGTAGTTTTTAACGCTCAAAAATTGCTGAGTAGATAATTAGGTACTCAATTTAGTTTAAACAGTCCGAGCGAATTTAACAACTAGCACGTGAGTGACCTGGCCACGTATCATAGTAAAATATCTCATTAATTCATCATAGTGAATACCCCGAGCATTGTTTGCAATATTTTAAATTTAAACATATTTCCATTTTTGACATTAACTCACTTAAGTTATCCAGAATTTTTTTTATAATCATAATGAGTTAAAAAGTATGGTGCAACAAAAAAAATTGCGGAATCCATTATTTTGGACGTTATAGCCTTCCATAGTTTGCGATTTTACTTTTTAGGGGCTACCCCTCCCTCTCTTTCTAAGTTGGCTACTTAAGCTTTGAGGGCTGAGCCCCTATCCAACTCAAGGTCTGAAGGGTCTTGAGTTGGGCAACTTTGGTCGGTAGGTGAAGGAAGGTCCCTCGAGTTTGGCAACCGGAACTTTGTAGATGGAAGGGCGCCATTTAAATATGGTGATGTACTTTAAGTCATTCAAATATGTAGAAAAAAAATCAAAATCTGTTATAGGTGCTGTGCGTCGTAGTACAGTGTTGTGCACAGACGTATAATGTATAAAACTTCAAAAGTTAGTAAGTTAGTTAAGTTTTGATTTTACCAATCTATTGAGCTTTAAATACCCCACATTTTGGTAAACAAAAATTTAAAAATATTTAATTCTAAGTATTTTATTGTTTTTAATACATTACGAAAAAAATTTACTTTTGAAGTTTTTCTCAGATAACTTCAAAACAAAGTCTGTCCGACCTTTTTTTCTTTATTTCTTATCAAACATCCTAAAACACATATTTTGAGAAATAAAACCCAAAAAATTCAATAGGTTGCTAAACTAGAATTGTTCCGTGGTCTTAGCTATAGAGTACAATTGCATTTTTAGTGTTCACAACTACCTAGCACTATTTGTAATTTGTATTAATTTGTGACTTATGTTTGATGAATTGGCTAGTTCAGTGAACATTATCAGACAGATAATTTTACTATGAATGTAAAAATATGATTTGTTCATTAAATAAAATGAATATAAGTATAGGGTGTACAGCATCTTTAAACAATTGTTTTCTTTATTTAAATTTGTTAGTTCAATTACACTGTTCTTTGTTGTGATATTTTGGCTTTTGGTTATTCAAATTTCAGACAAAAATTAATGAAAGCTCAAATTTTAAGAATTAAAATGTTAAGTTATGTGATAACCTTAATTGGTATGGGTCGAGGTATGGGTATGGTATTTTTCATAGTCTATTTTGTTATAATTTGTTTCATTTAATGATGAACTATAATTATGTCCATAATTAAAATATTGATAAATTAAACACTTACAACAAACCACAGAATATGTTGCTACCTTTTGGTTCTATCATAGGCAATTACACTATAACTATATTAAAACAAAGAATATAATCAAGAACTGCTGAACCTTAACTTTGCTATTTATGTAAGACGGAGACAACACTGAACACATGTGGGTGAAACATCGTCTTAACTTTGCACTATTATCATAGTATACTTAATACTTATCATATATATTTTTTATACCTTTTGAGAATGTGCTTAAAGTATAAATTACAAACAAATTATCCTTTTTTTTGAGATGTACTGTTTGAGCTGGTTTATATATTATATTCCACATTTAACAATTCATTTTTGTAACTAGTTATCTACTTCAGTAGAGTTGTTGATTTATTTCTTTAGGAGACAAAGAGATTGATCTATAGATAACCTTAATTACTGGTTCTGTTGAATTACCTCTGCAAATCTCAAAAGGTTGCTATAAATTATTGAAATCTGTAAATAATATATAAAATAGTTTATTATTTATATATGATAAATATAAAAATATTCAAAATATTATTAGTTAGTAAGTAAGCAGTTATTACTTTCTACATAGTAAAAAATAACTGTACCATAATTTATTGAAGATGTCAGTAAATTATTTGTTTTCTCTCTCTGAGACACACAACATAGCAAAATGTGCATTCAGCAAAATCAACCTTATGCTTTAAAATTAGACTTGACCTATTATAAACTTTTTAATTAAATAATTAAGTTAAAATCATTATCTGAGTTTGTATATTTGTGCGCTTTATTACAATATTTTAATTTTTACATAAGTTACGAGTATGTAAAATATCATAAAAAAAGTCAACACAATGATAGTATCTTATGATATAATCAATTCACTGTAATATTAAAGCTAACAATACAAAGTTGATTCTACTCAACATTAAATTTCAATGTTGGAAATCAGAAAATGGGTCAGAGATAAAAACTGATTGGGCACTGACATCATATTAATAGGCAATAGCTTAATATAATGTTTCTTAATTCTGACTGAAAAATTACTTGTTACTATGTTATGAATAACACTTAAGACTTTTTCAAATTTATTATTGTAATATTCCTCTACAGTGGCGGACTGGGGAGGATCCGGCCCAGTGGGAAAGTAGAATTAGTGGCCCGACATTTCCCCCATGGGCGTTCGCCTCACAGGGGGGATTTGAGTGATTGGGAGATGGATCCCTCCGTGGATTTTTTTTTTTGGGGGAGGGAGGGGGGAGGTAATCCAGTTTCCTGTCCAACTGATTATATTTAGTAAAAATAATCAAATAAATAAATATAATCATTAATCAAAATATTTTTTGTGACTCGTTATCATTTTCCACAATTTTTGTTTAATATTGTATTAAATGTAGTATCAGATTAAATAAAACTAAATAAATTTTATTTAATCTGTGGTAGTATCTCATTTTTAATTAATTTTCATATCCCCCCAATATAAAAATGTCTTCATAAAAATCATAATATAATTCATAATAATCAATATGAATTATAATTTTTAAGATAACTTAACTTATAATAGGTACCTACCTACTAACAATTTTATTATGAACATTTTTTTTTTTTTAAATCAATTTATTACATCATTTTATTATTAATTACATGAAAATTACAAAGAACATTTTACTCATAACACTAGAACTAGCTTTTAAATAATCAATGACCTTTGTTATTTCTATGTCATTTAATAACTGTTTTTCTACACTCATGATTAAAAGTGCTTCCAAATTCTCTTGGCACATATTAGCTCTTTATCTTGTTTTAACCAACTTTAATTTGCTAAATGTTCTTTCACAGTTGACTTCGGTGACTGATAATGTGAGAAAAAACTCATAAGAAGCACATAATACACTATATGCAGAGACATGCATGTTTAAGTTGTATAAAAGTTTATATACACATTGCAAGCAATTGTTTGTATCATGAATGGTGGTTTTATTTTTACCTGAAATCATATTATATAATATTCAAACAAAACATTTTAAATTACACTTATGTAAGTAAATCGGTAGTATAATTTTACTTACAAGGAAATGCTGTATTCTCATACATATTCTCTTCATTGTCATCTGTATTTTCATCTGATTCAGTGTCAAGCTGATGGTATATTTGTTTAGTTTTCTCTATTGTAGACATGTTTATCTTTGGATAAACTTTAGAAAAGTTTTTAAGTTCTAAACAAAGTTGTATGTGTTCTAAATTTGCTAAATTTGCCAAATGTTTTAATGCAGTATTTGGCATTTGTTCAATTAGTTTAAAATTTTTAGGTAATAAGTACTGAACATCTGCTATCAATTTATTGTTGTCAGTAAAACGTTCATTTAAACTTATAGTTATCTGGTCAATTATTGTTTGATATGTATCTACTCTAAACTTGTCTAGTGGTAATTCTGGTGATTCATCTTCGCATATTTCATCATACATTCTCTTTTTTCTGCTTTTCCTTGTAACAGGAAACGTACTTGAAACTAATATATCATCAGGAAGATTCATACTACTAAGTAAATCATTCATATTATTCGAAAAATTTATAGATTTGTTTAAAATACAGTCAAAACTTAGCCGTCCAATTTCTTGTTTTATAGAATCTATCATACCCCAGGCTGATAATAAATCCATACCTTTTGTCTGAAGGTAACGAGAAGTTGGTCCAACAATTTTAAAGATATTCATAAATATATGAGCCGTAAGAATTATTTTAAAGTTACATAAATTATGTAATAAAGAAGATGCTTCAAAACAAACTTTAGGTTCAAAGTTACTAGAAATGGAAATATGATATAGAGCACAAATAATTATTGGAAAAAGACACTGATCTCCATCAAATATCCAATACAACGCTTTTTCTCGAGACCACCATCGTGTATTATTTTCCCCTATTTTTTGAAGTTTTTTTAATTTATTTGAACCCAAACTTGAATTAATTTCTTGTAACCAAACAAGCATACGTTTATATGATTCACTAAAAAATGTTGATAATCGATTCAAAAATCCAAATAAATTCTTAGCTTCCAAACTTTTACAAGTATCACATATGCATAAATTGAGTACATGACTGTAACACCATATATAAATGGCTTTTGGGTTTTCTTGGTTTTTAATTTTGGATTGTAGACCAGAGTACTCCCCTCTCATGTTTGCTGCTCCATCAAATGATTCACCAATGATATTGTTGAACTTAATCGAATGTTCAGAAAAAAGTTGTTTTAACATATTATAATAGCCATTTCCAGAAGAATCTACCACTTTTAATAAGGCAAATAGCCTTTCTTTTACTTCTCCTTCATAAATATACCGGATGCACACTGCTGCCTGATCTACAACACTAACATCTTGTGTACTATCAATCTGCAAACTAAAATGTTGTTCACCTAATTCCAATTTAATTTTATCTCTTATTGACTTCACAATAGATAGAATAACTTTATTTACTGTATTTTTAGACAGTAAAGTTACAAGTGAACCCCTGCCACAAGAAACCAATGATTTCTTTTCCAAATTTGCTTTTCTGCGTTTGCTGTTTTCTATGGCAGTATTCAAATGTTTGTACAGTGTAGCATCTCGTTTAGCCGTAAACTGTACCAACTCCAAAAAATTTCCTTTATTTAGATTGTCTTCATCATTCCATTTGTATAAGCTTTCAGAATTTTTAGAACCTCTTAATGGTAAATTTTGACGACCAAGTAATTTTATAATTTCAAATATCTCGTTTATAACATGGATATTTTCTAGAATTTGATTTTTCTTTAACCCTTCACTGCATGATTTTTTATAAAGTAATAAAAAAAATGTTTTTTAATAGATTAAAACCTGTAGAATCCATTAAAATTATTAAAAAAATTTAGTTATAAATTGTAAGTACTCAATTTGACTCAATTTTGAAAAATGCATGTATGCACTTCCATGCATTATCGGCAAACAATAATAATTACGTCTCAAATTTTAAAATGCATGTATGCACTTCTATGCATCATTGATATATTATGTAAAATCAGTATTTATTGATATAAAGCAACTATAAAATAAAATTATAAATACATGATCATATTTTTTGAATATAAATTAATTTTTTAAAAAAATGTCTGAAAATAATAAAAAATAATAAAAATTTAATTTAGTTATGTATAATGAAATAAGTCGAAACAATTTCTTTCTGTATTACAACATAAAAAAACATCGCATTTAGTGCACTTAGCGAATGACTGAAATTTACATTTTGGTATTTTACATACGCGTCGAATTTTCTCAAATTTTATTCTGTGTTGATGCCCATCCAAACGTATTTGAGTTGATGGAATTGTTGCAGTTGGTGTCCTTTTTTTTCTTTTTTCAAGCTCCTCCAGCATTTGCTTTTCCAACGATTCCTTTGTTTTTCTGCCTTTTTTTTTAATTTCCATTTCTGTTTGACAAAGTTCAACAGCTAACTGCTCTCGAAATTGAGCTAGTTTCATTGGTTTTCTTGTAACTTTTTTGTACAGCATCCACGTGTTTACAATCTACATATCAACCAAATGGTAAAAAATTTTCATATACCATTTCTTAGACCTCATTATTATTCTATAGCGCCCAATCATAGAATCCATGAGGTCAACCCCACCCATTTGTTTATTGTAAACTTCAATGATTTTTGGCCTAGGTACATTAACGGTGGTCTTTTTTTTTTTGTCAAATCTACTCACTACATTTTTTTCGAGTTCGCCTACAAAAGTTGAGGACACGTGTACTATCTTGTTGTCTCTCCATGCAACAGCTGAAATAGGGACATCTTCAACCACTGTGAAACACTCTTCAGAATATCCACGATCTTTTTTCATCAATATACAATCATCTGTCAAACAGACGTTTGGAAAACGATTACGTCTAAATGTGCCAACTGTGTGAATGCCTTTTTTTTCTAGATATATCATCACTGGTAATGAGGTATAGTAATTATCAAAAAATAACTTATGGTGCACGTTTTCCGGTATTATTCTAGTCATTCTCACAACAGTGTTGCCTGTAGCTCCAAAATCTGGTTCACCGTGTATAATTCGTTCGTCTTCCTTATTTTCATTTCCCGTGTAAATTTCAAAGTTATAACCGTAGCCAGAAACACCACATAAAACAAATAATTTGTAACCCCATTTATGAGGTTTCAGTGGGAGATACTGTTTGAGATATGATACAGCTTTAGTTGGACACAATTGCTCATCTAATGATAAGTTTTCTTCGATAGGTACAGAGCCAAACTTTATGTTAAGTGTGTCAATGAGTGGGCGAACTTTAAAAATCCTGTCACGATTTGGATTATCTTTAGGTAAATCTAAAGTATTGTCGTTAAAATGAATATTTCGCCTAATATTTTCAAACACATTTACACTCATGCAATTTCTTATTATTTTATTATGAGTATTTTCTGACCAATATGACCTCGTATTTGGTAGATGGACGATTGACATCATTGTAATTATGCCCAAAAAATGTCGTACGTCGTTTATCGTTATTTTATTTGGTTTTTCAGGATTTTGTTGAGTACTATAAAGCGTAGACTGTTCGGCAATATGTGCTAATAATTTATTATCAAAAAAATAACAAAAAAATTCTCTTGGTGATGTCATTTCTTTTATTTCGTCAGGCATTGGTTTTTCCCCAACAAATTTTATAAACTCGGGATTCTGTGAAAAATTTCCTTTTCTCCAAATCGGGTCCAACTTTTTTATTTTTGGTATATTTTTTGTTTTAGGAGTATTAGAAGCAAGTAGTTTTCTTGTGGATCTACGGTTTTTACTAATAGGTATTTGTGAAACAAATGACGAAGCTGGTGAAACAGATCCTGTTGGCAAAGATTGTAAATCTGATGGGATTTGAATTACAATGGGGGACTGTGACGTTGAACCACTGAAATTAATTATATTATCTTCAGAAAGATACACGGGATAATTCAGTATATTATCAGCATTGTCTACAGCTTCATTTAAAATGCGGTCGTCATTTTCAAATAATTCCTAATTATAAAATAAAAAAATCCTAAATATAATAAAATACTAACACCTCTTGAAAATAAAAATAAGTAACTTACGGGCAATTCAAAATTTTCGTCATCACTTAGACCAATATCAGCAAACTCATCATCGCTTTCAATAGGTATACTTAAAATTCGTNGTAGATTTGTTCATCTGAATCGACAGCTATATCCCGCTTTCCATTTTTAGTTTTTGTTTCTGTTTTTTTAGCCAATGCTCTACCAGTTTTAAGCCGTTTAGGAAGGCCGATTGTTGTCATAATTGCGCTTTTTGGCCGACCACAAGTTCTGATTTTACCAGGTAGTATTATTGATTCAATACCTAAACATTAAAATTTTTTTTTATTTAAATCCACAACGTCATTATCTAGTATTATTGATTTTACTATTATAGAATAATTACCCTGACTGTTACAATTTTCTGAATCTACAGTTTCAACAGCATCCGTAATATCATTCTCTATAGTTATAATATTGTCTTCAACAGCATCCATAATATCATTCTCTATAGTTATAGTTTTGTCTTCAACAGCATCCATAATATCATTCTTTATAGTTATAGTTTTGTCTTCAACAGCATCCATAATATTGTTCTCCACAGTATTTACATCATCTACATCTATACAGTAATTTATTTATGAATATTGAATATATATTAAATAACATCGCATAATTACCTAACATTTGAACTGATATTTCATGCCCTTTCAACCAATTATTATAAATAAACTCAAGCTGTTGTATTTTTCTATGGAAATGTACATTTGATGTTTGAGAAATTAGTTCAGCGATCTTTGCTCCTACCATTGATGCTTTCCGGAACTTTTCATGAGTAGATGGGATTTTTTTTTTCTTTCTGTGTAATGTTGTAACTGTAGTATCGCTATCAGTGGGAACAATCTCAACATTTTTAAAAACTCTTTGATTTTTATAGTAATAATCTCTGGTCCATCTTGTATCACATAAACTTAGGTCATATAATGGTTTGTTCTGAAGTTGTCTAGTGTGAAATATATGTTTACATGTCAATCGCATTGATTTATAAAAGAGACAACTACATGAAACCTCTGTTGTGTTGTCTAGAACATAGGTTCCAGCAGAACTTTCAAATTGGTTTTTCAAAAAATTGTAAGCATAAGTCGTTAAAAAACTATGATACTGCCGTAGCTCTGGAATATCATTCATTTTAGTGGGCCGCCTTTGAACCAATTTCACTGCATTCCTATCCCGTTCTAGTCGCACACAGCTCAAAACAATAAAAAGTTTTTCAACAAAATCTTCCAGTGTGGAAAATGTAGATATTACCGATTTAAGTTTGCCATTAAAACTTTCTAATCGGTTATTCGTCTTGTTCATGAAATTTCCGGTGTTAAATGTCATGCCCATCACCCATTCCTGTCTTATATTGTGCCAATTTTTATTATAATAATTAATGATTGATTCAGGTGCTATGGATTGAAGGTGGGTGTATATCGTATCATATTCTTCTTCGGATTTGCAGTATGTTAATTCTTGAAATATCAGTTTCACATCATCCCTTTCTTTGGGAGTTATATTTCTTTTTTCACATGTTATTTCCCGATTGAAGGTCCGTAATGTGTGAAATAAGCATATTGTTAATGAAGAATTTGGAAATACTTGCCTTATTACCTTTCTCTCCTTCATATCTTTGTCGGTTACATATACGCGAGTTTGAATTGATATTGGGTTGTTCTTTTTGAATGTTTCAAAAAACCAACGCAAAGTTGACTCTTCCTCATTTACCAACAGTCCAATCGCTGCAATTTCACTGTTCCCGTTGCCATCCTCAGTCATTAAAACATAAACGGGAAGCCTCAGATCAAGTAATTTGTACGTGGCATCTGCAAAAACTACCTGTACAAAAAAAAATTAAAAAAAGTATTTTTATAATTTGTTACTTTTATATAATATAATTTACCTCTGGAAATGAACTGAATGATTCTACCATAATCATATCTTGAATAAAAATACCGTTTAAATTATTGTCTTCGTCTATTGATACCTCTACAGTACAGTTGAATTTCCTCTTTAATTTAGTTACAACTTCGGTTAAATCATTTTTTGAACAATGATTTCCTACAAAAAAAACTAGAAATATCAAAAGCACTAAACTAAAATATTATTTTTCTTACCAGCTGTGGTACGGATGTTGGATAAATCCTTAAGTGTAACTATTTTACCGCTTTCTTTCATGATTTTATCTTGTATAAGTTTTTTGTTCGCCTTCATATCCATCAACTCTATAACTATGGCCTTGTTTTCCGGTGTGATCTTTCTCTGATTGGGAAGATGGCTGTACAATATTTTTGATATCTCGTGGTTATGAGTCTCGTTCATTTTAGTTATTTCTAACTGTTGTCCATTTGCTGAAGCTTTTAAATAAATAAAAGCTTCACAACATTGGCGCATTGTACTTAAACATTTGAATATAAATTTATTTATATATTTTATATATTGTAACTAGGTAATATAAAATGAAATATGTATAAATATGTATAAACTATAAGTGTACTTACGAGGTGACACGTTGGTCTAAAGTATTTTTTTTTTTTTTTTGGCATCCTCCATGCACNACATTATAAATATGTTTAAAGTTATTACAACCCTTAGAAAATATGGTAGCAGATGAACTAAAAGCAATACAAAATGGACAGTACATTGCTTTAAGCTCATTACCAATACAGAACACTGATAACCATTTCCGGGCAATTTTTTTATCATCTGGTGTTTTTCTAAAATATAGCTTTTCTAAATCTAGTCGAATATTACTGAAGTATGATGGTTGAATGGGATGTTGTTTGACAAAGTTTATCTTTTCAATAATTTCAGCATTTTTTTTTAGTTTGAATAATAATTCTTCGTTGGATGACAAATTATATTGTAGAGATTCAATTTCCTAAAATAATATTAACATGAATTTTGTTATAAAATCAATTAACTTAAAAATATAGATCTTTATGAGTCAGCATATTATATACATTCCTCATATGATACTATGACAGAATTAAAAAAAGTATTTTGAAGTGAATTCAAATATTTTAATCAGTCGTATAATGTGAACAAATTATGCATTACATATCAAAGGAATACATAAAAATGCAATATTATCATTATTATTTTAACACATTAATGTAATTTAAAATGTAGTTTTTTCTAAATCTATTTGTTCAATAGAGAATATTCAAACAATTGTAATAAAATAAAAAATCTTACCAATACACTCTCTGTAGCTGTTGTTTTTTGGTTGGTAGTTAAAGATGAATCTAAATCAATATTAATATCACCAGTTGAATCTTGTACAGTATGCTTTTTCTGTAGTGTAGCAGTAGAACGACTATCACACTAATATTTAAACAAAAATAATTAGCTAAATTAACTTATAATTATGTAGATAAATGAAGTTTTTTCTAGATTGATTTGTTCAAAAGAGAATATTCAAACAATTGTAATAAAATAAAAAATCTTACCAATACACTAGCAGTAGAACTATCACACTAACAAATTTAAACAAATCAAAATAGTAATATTTGAGTTGTGTATACTAATGTAAAATTTAAAAAATGTACATGGTATACATAATTATAAATCATAAATGTATAATATTCACAAAAGTAAAAATAAAAAATAATTACGGTTAATGGAAGAAATAACTACTTACTTCAGAGTTTACTGGAGATGATGTCTTATAAAAGATATTACTTATTTTTTTGCTGAATCAGCTAACAGTTTTTTATTTTTTTCTCTGGTTTTCTGTGCCCCACCTTTAACGTATTTCTTATTGTTGTCACTCATTTTAAATATACAAATTAAGTAAAGAAGAACACTATAAGTAACTAATTAAGTATGGTACAAATGTACAATACAAAGTCTGATTAGTCTTAGTTGTCGTCACTCGTTAGTTTAATGAAAACTGTAAGCTGTAATATCAGCTGTACTCTGTACACAAAAACACAGACATCAAATAGACCAATAGACGGACGTATCACGTAATAGGTATAACCCAACAGTTAGTTATTTTTAGATCTTATCGTTAACTTGCAAAATTATTTCACATAACTGTCATTAACTGATAACAGTACACCATACAGCACGACATGTCACGGACTATGTCGAAAATACATTTAGCAAACCAATATTAAAATATAAATATTGAATGTTTTTTATTTGTCATTGGCGTGGCGGCCACATAAAGCATGCGGCCCAGTGGGACATTTCCCACTGTCCCACCGGGCCAGTCCGCCACTGTTCCTCTATGTACACAAGATAATACCTATATTTTATGATAAAAGTACAAATACTGATAAATATCAGAATGTTGGGCTTTTACCTATTGATCTTGGTTTATACTAGAGTCTAGAATTATAAAATAACTCAGTCAAACTCCAAATAATTATTCTAGTTTGGACGTAAATTTGTATGAAAATGTTTTTTTTTAAATTTATTTAAAAATATAACTTTCTTAACACAAAATTTGAATTCACTACCAACAAATTCAATTTTAAAACTTTTATTTTTAAGCATCTAAGTCAATTTTTTCCTATTTATTAACACTTTATTTTGAACACATATTTTACATGTGCTGTACTGCCTGGTGTATCTATGTCCTACTTAATTTATAATGTTTTAATGTTACCTTTATTCTATGAATATTATAAATTTTATGAGTTACCTGAATGATTTATTGAATTTGATTTAGATATTATTGTTTATTACTTCACATCTTTTTTGTAACATCAATGACCATGCTATCCTTGCTTAAAACGTGTTTATAATATTCAAATCTACACAAATTTTTTTTTTAGAAATTGTTGTGGCTTTTTAGATAATTTATTAAGTTGTAGGGCACTTTTTACTTCTTTTTAACAGTTCAGAGAAAAATTATGAGTTTTTTATTTGTTAATAATAATAACAATTATAACAACCTATTATAATATTTTCCAAAAATTAGAAAAAAACAACAACTTTATTATTTTTAATACATGTTATATTTAAATATTGATATAACAACATAAGACCAACATAGATAATATTTTTACAATGGACTACATAAATGTTAATTTTAACTGCAATAACCCAGTTCTGACGGCAACTGTTGTAATTGCTTTTGTGATTTTACTAATTCAGTATCTACCTGTGTTATTAAAAGTTCATAATTTTTGGTGTTTTTTATAGGCATTTTTATAGTTTTTTTAAGGGAATCAACATTCAGGCCCATACTCATTAAGTATAATGTTATTGCTTCAATTGTCCGTTGAGCCATCCACTTTTATGAAGTTGTAAGATGGTCAAGTCTAAATGATCTATTAATTATTTTTTAAATAAAAGATAATACTAATTTAATATATTAATTCTATATGGTTAAGTTTAGTAATGCATTATTCACTACCTACAGGTTTTGTTAGTTTTATGTATGTTTATATTTTTTTAATCTTGTTCTTTTGTAAATGTATTCATAACTAAACTCTAATAATTATGTATTAAGTTTCTTATTTTATCTATTATTCTTCTAATATTCAAAAATTAAGTTAGTAAGCGATTTGTGTACACATATTTTTTGTATTAGATGGATGATACAAAATTTCTCAGCCTACCAGAAATGCAGAATTCTAATGAAGAAATGTTTAATTTTAATACGTAAGTATAAGCATGTTTTTGAATATTTTGCACTTTGCACGCTTTGCTTGATATTTGCTTTCCTGATTTAAATTTGATTTAGTGTGCAACATTATTTTTCTATTTTATAAATTCAAATATAATTTAACCACAGTGATTTAAATATAGAAAAAGATAAAACTATTGATGTGTTTCCGTTATTATATGAAGTTATGTTATGCATTATTTAATTTTTTAATGGTTTGACAAATATTTGCAAATTATTTAATGATTAAAATTAATGAAAATATCTTAACTAAAACACATTTTTTTTTAAACCAATAGGTAGTCTACAAGTTTGATAATTAAGGTTTATGTACATTATAATACACTTGATTTAATTTTTATTAGATGTAATGAGAGCTTAACACCACTGTTACAAAATCAGTCTGATGGAGTCTTTTTGAATCCAAATGATTTCAATGAATACTATTTTTCAATGCCGATGGAGAATGGAAGGATTGTGGATTTGAATCTTCCGCCAACGGTAACTTATATTGAGTTAGATATCTATGAGACTATGACAATTATTCAGATTAATATTATCTGTATAAATAATTTGAATAATTTTGTCATAATCTTATTGTAATATTGATTAAGGGCATTGCACTTCTACTATTTTGTCAAAAAGTATTCAATATGTATTTTTAATGAGTAAAATAAAAAAATTGGGGAAGTCGCTCTGTTGTTTTGGTCATGTCACGTTAAGTCTATTCTTTGAGTAGGTGGATATGGTAAAATTTATTTCAGTAATAAATCAATGCATACAAAAAATGATTTCAATAAAATAATCTTTTTTTTTTTTTAAATGTCGTTTATTTATGAAAATTTACAATCTATACAAAAATGGTACAATAAGTAAATGTGAATAATGATTAAAAGTGGCGATGAGGGGAGTACAATGAGTAGAAGTTTGATATTAGAAATTCCTACGTGGAAGGTAATTTAGGGAGAAATAGTAATATACATGATTAATGATTTAATGTGCGTTGAGAAGATCTCTGGGCCATTCACGTTTGAGGCATCTGGCTGGGTTGTCTGGAAGGGCATTGGTATGAAGTTGAGCTATGAGGGGGTTTGAGTGATGTTCCATATTGGAGTGCAGGTGAAGATAATCTTATGAAGAATCTTGTATTCAATTTTTAAGCTATATGTGTTATTTACTTAAAATATTTTCATAATTCTGACAAATTTTAGAAAGATTTGAACTTAAAAACATTCATAAAAAAACTGTTGCTTTGTATTTTTAATATTTTGTTAGTGCTGGGAAAAAAACATGATAAACCTGGAACATGATATTAAAATCCAAGTTTTTTTTACTACAAACCAACATTTTACTAAATGCACATTGAAATAAAACTATAAATCTAGAAAATATTTTTAAATAGAACAAAAAAAGAAAATCATTTGAAATATTTAAAATTTTTTAAAAATATTTAAAAATGGTGATTGTTCTTTATTTTTTTTTTTCTCCAATTGTTTTGATGAGTATGAAGAACTTTTTACTTTTGACAAACTGGGTTGATTTCCACCAAAAATCACTCAAATTGGCTGGTTGAAACATTTTTAGTTTTTACAACACTAAAAGATGCATACATTAATTTTCTCAAAATCTAAAATGTATTACAAATTTAATTATAGCATATTATTTATATTTTAGCCTGATGACGACCAAGAAAATCATGAAACATGTACAGCTGGTTCTGTAAAATCATCACCAACTGGTATTATACCCTGCCAGGATGAATTTGGTGGTAGCACTAATTTTGAAGTGTTGTTGGATTCCAGTTCCCAGTCATACCGTCAAAAATGGAATGTATGTATGATGTTAACATTATGAATTATGTAATAGTTCTAATTATTATAATTTTATTTCCTCTAGTATTCAGTTACACTGCAAAAACTTTTTATCGACATAAATAAAGTGCTTTTGTTAAATTTTAAATGTGATTATGACAAGATTGCCAATAATATGTTATTATTTGTACGTGCTATGCCTATGTATAGTTCAGCAGATTGGTTAAAAGAACCTGTTGATCGTTGTTTACAACATTTATCACCTATAGATCAGTTTAACAAAGGTAAATAATACAAAACATATTATGTTTCATAGTTTCAAGTAGATATAGGTTGTTAATTGTTATAGTTCAGAGATGGCAAACCTATGACACGTGTTTTACCCTCTTTTAATGACACCCTCAACTTGTTTTTTTTTATCATTCAAGCCATGGATGTAGGAATTTTTTAAGTTTAACAAGAGGGTCATCAAATTATTTGACATGTGGGTACTGAATGGTTTGTCATCCCTGTATAGGGAGTCAAGTGATTGAAAATTGAGGAGTTCAATTTCTTCCTTAAGTATTTAGAAAATTTTGTTAGTAAATAAATTAATGATTCAAAAACATAAATTAAATGCTCAATTGTTGACTGTTCAAACCCTGCTTTATGGTGTATTTCAGTGTTTATTGATGATTGTATATTACATGTTTTTATATTTATATATTATACAATAGATTCTGATTATGTCAAACGTCAATATCTCACCTTTTTTTTCTATACCCCTTGAGTTTTGATAGAGCAAAAGTTTAAAATATATATTATCAGGGTAATTTTTTAAGTATGCTCATTGTTCACCCTACTTTTATGCATATTATGTTCAAATACTTTTTGGTATTGTTTTAAATACTTCAAGACCATATTTTTGAATGCTTAAAAGAATATTATACCACTTAAAGATAATCCTGCGACAATACAAAGCTTCTGTATTTCAAGTATAAACCCCCCTTTTCATTTTAAATTATTCAGCAGAGATTTTTTGAGAATTTTGATGAATCTAAATCAAAATTCAAAGAAGTATTTATTGAGTAAAAGTGTTCTAAGGATAATATATCAATATAACAATTTGGCTTCAATAATTTTAAAATGTTAGTAATTACTAATAAATAATGGTCTATTAATATAAATAATTTGTAGAAGGTCCAGGTAATTAATACTATATCTAATATTAAATTGTGTTTATTTTTTTTGTAAAACCATTTTTATGATTATTATCCTTAGTATTAGAATTTTAATAACTCCGAAACTACCCATTAGAATTTTGATTTAGACACATTATTTAACATTTTGCTTATGTTGATTCGTTTTTTGTAGGTTTTACACATTTAGAACATGTAATACGTTGTGATAATGAAAGTACAACCTATCATACAGATCAAGTTAGTAAGCGTAAAAGTGTAGTTACACTTTTATCTAGACCTGAACATGGGTCAGATAGTACCAGATTATCCTATAGATTTGTATGCAAGACTTCTTGTATTAGTGGAATGCAACGTCGTCCTATAATTGTAATATTCACATTAGAAGATTACACGTATGTACTTTAAATCTTTGTAAATTATAACAAAATCTCAAAAAAATTATCAACAATTCTGTAATTTACAGTGGCCAAGTGCTTGGTCGTCGTGTACTTCCAGTAAAAATTTGTTCTTGTCCTAAAAGAGATATGGATCGCGAAGAAAAGGATACCCATTTACAAAAAAACACAGTTTTTCGTCGAAACAAGAAGTGTATCTCACAAGAAATACACCATAACAATAATCGCCATCATCATAGTAATACTGAACCACCACCAGCTAAGATAATTAAATTAGAGTCTTCAACCTCAACAGACAATATAACTAATAACGCATACATATTGCCAGTAAATACTTATAATTAATTCTTGATTTACATATCATCTAAAACTTTTCATTATTTTTTCAGTTAAATTATACAACCACAACAAAGGAACATTATAAAATAGTATTGGAAAGTATATACTCAGTAATTACTGGTGTGTCATCTCTTCACAATATCACAGATACACAACCATTACTCAAAGACTTAAAATCTAGGTTGGATAACCTAAACTGATTCTGGAGAATTATATTGTAAGCCTTAAACATTTTTTTAAGGCTTAATTTTTATATATTTTTATAAGGACTACATAAATTATATTTTTTTTTTAATTTTTGTGAATTATCTTACTGTAACTTTTTTATTTTTTTTTATTGATCAAGCTTTGATCGTGCATTTATTATTTATAATGATATTAATATTGGCATATTTTTATTATTTAATATATTTAAGTTGATTATATATAATATATATTAAATAAAAATCAAAAAAAAATATTTGTTTCCAAACTGTAATACGTTTAATAACAATTTGGTGTCTATCATAAAAGAACAATTAACAAATATAAAATGTATACATTTATATTTATTTTACATCTTATGATTCATAATTACGACAATGGTTTTTTAGATGGTTTATTGGTGCATAAAAAACAATTTACTTTTATAAAAATCATAAAACAAGTATTATCTATTTTAATACAAATTTATTTATCTTCTTCGTAAGTAATAGTTTGGTCAGTGAATTTGTATACATGTTCTTTATAAGAATCAATTAACTGATCATCATCTACAACTTTAGATGTTGGAAATGGTGGTGGTGACTTGTGCTTTCTTAATGGAAGTATGGTATCATATAAATAAACTATTGAATTTGTTTCTCCCGGCGATGCAATTCCTTTTACCCATATAACATTGTATTTGTGGTTGATTCTTAATATTTCAGCTCCTTTGTGTAACCTGTATCTGTTACCCATATGTCCGGGCATTTTTGTTCCGGGAAATATTCTACCCTTTTCACCGCCATGGCCTACATTACCTCCTCTGCGATGAGATTTGGTTACACCATGGGTCGCTGGCATACCATGAAAACCATGTCGTTTCATCACACCTTGAAATCCTCGATCAATAGTTTTTCCACGTATATCAATAAAATCTCCAGGCCGAAAATGTGAAGCTAAGAGCGGTGTACCTGGTTGCAAAGCAGCTTCCGGAGAAACCATAAACCTGCCAAGGTATTTCTTTGGCATCATACCTTCTCTATAAAATAATCCACAATACTGTTTTGTAAAATATTGGGGATCAGCACTCTCAGCACCCACCAAAAGGCATCCTAGTTGTTTTTTGTGATTAGGACACGAATATGGTTTCCTTGGTGGATTGAACTCCCCTGGTGGGTTGTATTTGATCACATGGTTGTCGATAACTTGCAAAAGGGTAGTTAACACGCTTTTACCATTGTTCAGCCACATTGGATAGTTTCCAAGCTTGCGAGCTATGAGCCCGGTGCGCTGGAGCTTGGGGTCCCATTCGACGTTCACGCACTCGACAGAGTCTTCGCTCAATGGAGATCGCACATCATACGTGGATATTCCGTGAATCACTGCCGGCATACCGAACTTGTCATGCACGGCTTCCTTAACGAACGCACGGTTATCTCCGGTTAGTTGTTGGTCGTCTTTCGCCCGCTCTCGCTGCAAATACCATAAAGGATATTTGATTCGCGGTGCCCGGACGTTGTGTGCGGCACGAGACTGAAATACCATCGGTCCGCCGAAAGTGATCTGCAACGACGAAGGAAGATCAAAAACAGTACGTCTCATGATTTTCGACATATCAATACTTCGCGATTTAACTATCTACCGATAATTCGGATAATCGTCTATACTTGTAAGTTGTAGATAGAACTTGGAAGTTGGATAATGTGAACTTGCCGCCACTCAAACCATTTCGTTCGCGCACTGCTACTATTTATGCATTATAGAATTATTCCATGGGCCATGGGGTACGGGCCTAGACGGACTAGTAATCAGTATGGTCAATGGAAGTAAATACTGATAAAGGACAATCAAATTTGATAAAGATATCGCTTATCTCTCGAACACATGAAAAGCACGGTTGTAACATAGTTTCATTATTTTTTCAGTTAAATTATACAACCACAACAAAGGAACATTATAAAATAGTATTGGAAAGTATATACTCAGTAATTACTGGTGTGTCATCTCTTCACAATATCACAGATACACAACCATTACTCAAAGACTTAAAATCTAGGTTGGATAACCTAAACTGATTCTGGAGAATTATATTGTAAGCCTTAAACATTTTTTTAAGGCTTAATTTTTATATATTTTTATAAGGACTACATAAATTATATTTTTTTTTTAATGGAATTATTAGAATTGTCAATTATCTCCGCCGAATGCCGACGATTGAGGTTGGCCTATATAAAATATAGATGATAGACCACACTATCATAGATATTATTACATGATGATTTATATTACTCTACGGATATTATACACATAGACATTAGACATATTTAAACATAATATAATAATAATAATATAATATACACATGATATATATATCTATGATTATACATAATGGCTAAAACCAAAGAATAAACGTAAAACATACTATATAGAGATATGGCGGCTTACAGTGTCCGATTAAAGTTAACGGACACTTAAAACTTTGAAAATCTGCCGGTAATAAATTCTGTTATCAGCTGGTCTGCCTTATCCGTAAAGACAAGTAAACTAAACTGAATGTTAACCGACACTTAACCGGACTAGGCATTTTAGGTATTTTAGTAAAGAAATCTGTGTGTAAAACAGACTGTACGGCTCATATATTATTCTGTGGACTGTGGGGTATTTGGACATTCCCCCAAGATTCTAGCGGTATGTTTCACCCCTGGACTGGGACTGAGACATGTAGAAGTTCTACATTAGAAAGCTTTCAGATGAGACACTTTGTGACACTGACTTCGTTTCTTGCCACTGATTCGGTGACACGTCCCCTCTAGTCGGTGTACACAGTGTCTGTTTCTCGGCCACAAAGCGTCTCGTCTGAAAACGGCCTTACCCCCCGGAACAATATAAATGTTATTTAAACATAATAGATGGAAAAATAGGTTCTTTGGTTTTACCAAAAATATACGACCATCGACCATCACATTTGCCTCTATGATCTACCAACTGCCATCATTAACGTTATAGATTTATAATTTATTCATTTACCTAATTCATCTATGCAGATGACTGATGAGAACTGTGTATAACAATAGCATTACAAGCGACAAACAACATATTGCAGTGATGTAGGCTTTCTTTACGAAACGTTCAAGATTTTCAAGAAAGAATTTGGAGTGTATTGGTACGTATCGGGTCAATTTTGAGCGTTCAAGATGTTACACGTGCAACATACAAGCGATACGTACCGACCCGTATCGAATTTTTCTTCTTGAAAATCTTGAATACAATAATCTATATGACCATATATCTTACCCTGCTACTACACACTTTCGTTTGTACGAGTAATTGAGTAATCAAAAATCGCCCTCTATGTTGTAAGTTGTAACGCTTTCCATACACTCATTGCTTGTCTAGTAGTAGAAGGTCTATTTTATTACCCACTTTAATGGGTAGTCATTGAATAATAAAGTTATGTGAAAGTATTATTGAATTATATTTATATTTTAATATTTAATTCACCAATTTTTATAGTTACTTATAATAAAAAATCACAGTACATTTATTTATTTGCATAATATGTAATTTGTTAATTGTTGAATATTTGTAATATTTTTTAAATTATTATTTGGTGAATTTTGTACTAGCAATAGTATTATAATAGTTATTATGACATATTATTACCATTGAATTATATCTAAATACCTATCAATTAAATCATTTATTGATTTCCATTGTATATGTTTCATCGTTTAATATTTTAACTTTTAATGTATTGTCCTGGAACAATTTTTTCTGTTCGGGTTGGAAACGTCCTAGATTCGGATCCAGAGGATTTTTATAGAGCCGGGCAACCGGGGAAGTACCTAACCTAACCCAACCTTTTTTTATAAAGACTAGAGCAAGATATGAGACACACTAAGATGCGGTACCTATATAATATAGGTTATAGTTTTAGTGAATTTTTAACTATAATATTTTAAGTTATAATATGCATTTTTCGTTAATTATTATCTTTTAATAAAATTCACTTTAATAATTTACGAACTATGGTACAAATTTTTTTTACTGTAAATTTTTCATTTGGCTTATTTATTTATTTTTTTTTTAATGGAATTATTAGAATTGTCAATTATCTCCGCCGAATGCCGACGATTGAGGTTGGCCTATATAAAATATAGATGATAGACCACACTATCATAGATATTATAACATGATGTATTCATAGGTCTTGTAGGTACTCATTACCATTTACCTATTACCCAGTACTTGTGTATTATTGTAATCATTCATTTTTTTAGTTTCGCGCCTTTCGCTTTCATTATACTTAGCAAATACAAAATAATAATATACGAAGTTGTATTTTCGAATAATTATTTATTGTTTTGTATTAAGTAGGTACCTTCACCATAATAGCATACTAAAATCGTAATTTCTCGTTAAAATATTCTTATTAAATTTGTCGACATTTAATTTGGTATGTGTAGGCATAACAAATGTTGTACAAATGTAATTTTGGTATTTTTAGGCTGTTGTATGATCAATTTATGAGAATCCTTCAATTAAATTATTTGTAGATATTAAATTAATATCATAATTTATAAATATCTATTATTTAAATTTATTTGTTAATAATAATTAAGACTTTAATTTTAGTAGTAATCGTGTTCCTATCACAAGTTGTTTTTTATTACTCTCAATTCATTTATTTTTATACTTATGGCATTTACTCCCGAGTGACTTATGAATAATCATTAAATGTTGAATTTAATAGTTATTAAGCTAATGGGATTAGAAATAAGAATAGACTGCAGTTTCCTAATCTACTACATCATTATTTTATGTTTTTAATATTGAAATCACTGCTGTGTACCGTCGCAGATTACCTATCTACGTATCACTCGCATTATAACTCTATATAACCTGCCATGCCTACCTTTTTATATAAAAATCGAACATGCCTTGTAGTATTACGCAATGTAAATTAAATCTATCTTCATGGTCGTATCCTGAAGCCGTTAACCAAAATCTAAAATATTCGTCTTACCAAACAGATATGCCGCATTTTCAAAGGACTTTTTTTTTTTTTTATTATTATTAATATAAAGTTTTCCTGACAGTCGACATCATCTAAACTTAGGTGTAAAGAATTAATT